TTCCAATGAATTTCGGCAATTGAGTGGTTTTCAAACTTTTTAAACCATACTCCACAGTAATATACAGGGTGGGGGGCAAAAGTAGGTTTACAGTTGTTCATATGTAACCTAATACAATAAATAACAATACAAGAATAAACTCTGCATTTCAAATACTTACAACTGTAAACTTCTTTTGCTCCACCCCGTATTTTTTCCATTCCTGTTTTGCTGTTTTTCTGCCTTCCCCATCAATCCTCCTTTCATATGTTCTGTATTTTTCTTCCTCAAATCACAATTCTGTATATTTGTTTGGAAATGTGGGTATCTCTTAAAACTAAGACTATTTATTCTATGAGCAGAAGCAGGAATACCTGCAGTGCTTGAGTAGGGATTCTTCTCCCATCTTTGAGTTTTGATATATTATCCTTCCCAGTTAAGAGCGTTAATTACTTTTATACTATCCCTAAAGAAAGGATTTAACAGATTTACAGTTTATTTGAAGTTATGGAAAGAATGTCTAAACTATTGAAAATGATGGCATGTAAACACCCTTGAACATAAGTTATCAACTGATCTTGCCAAAAACCTTTCCTATTTTTAAAGCTAAGGATTTTGTGTGTCTTTTGTCTAGTTGTGGCTTTTCTATCCCCTTGGGAATAAGTCTACTTGTCATACTATTCTTTCTTTCATTAATCATTTTTATATCATTGTTTGTAGGACTTTACTAAAAGAATCAGTAAATGCCTACAGTAATAGAAAACAAAATTTCATGACATGGTTGTTATGTTACAATGAACAAACATTTATTGGTTGAAACACTACTTTCTAATGCAGTTTTTCAAACTGTGGGTGTTGGGATTCATTAGGGGGTAGAGAAATCAATTTAATGGGTCATGATTAGCATTTTAAAAAATTGAGTACAATAGAAAATTATCAGAATACACTGCAAGTATGTATAGTATGGTAAAAGAAAATCTTGCCTGTTTAATTTGTATTTTTTTTTAAATTAAATAAATAATAACCTGAGATAAAGAGAATCCAGAAGAGCATTTTAAGTCCATTGTACCTAAAATCATAACACTAGCGTCAATCTTTTCTTGGAGCTTCCCCAGAATACTTCCTTTAAATGTCCTAGTGATCCTAGCACAGAAAATCATAAGTTATAAGAGTCTACAGGTCAAAGCCCTTTAAGGCCAAGAAAGAAGAATATTACACATTTGTGGAAAAAAGCTCCAAATGGTCTTAAGTAATTTCAGCCAAGCCAAACCAGGGTTCAAGATAAGGGTTGTCAAAAAGTAAAAACAGCCTGGCTGATGTGGCTCAGCAGTTGAGCTTCGACCCAAGAACCAAGAGGTTGCTGGCTCTATTCCTGCTCAGGGCACATGCCCTGGGCTCCATCCCCAATAGGGGGAATGCAGGAAGCAGCCAAGTGATGATGTTTCTCTCTCATCGATGTTTCTCTCTCTTTATCCCTCTCCCTTCCTCTCCCTCTAAATATCAAAAAATATATATTTTTTAAAAAGCGAGAAATTTTAGTTGAGCTGCAAACCTGTAGGAATAGCAAATTCAGCCGGGTTGAGTGCTCTTTTAGGTAAATGCAAATGGCTGACACATACATTCTTATTCTGACAATATAGAGAAACACTATTATTTGGTATATAATTAACCAACTAAGTTTTCAATGTTTTAGTAACTCTCACTTTCCATATACTCATTTCCTTCCCTTCCTCTGACTTCAAACAGCCCAGAAATCTTTTATTGAAAAAGGAAAGCCCTAGCTGCTTTGAGTGTTGGCCTGTGGACTGAAGGGTCCAAGGTTCAATTCCAGCCAAGGGCACATATCTCAGTTTCAGGTACACTCCCTGGCCCTGGTCTGGGCACGCACAGAAGGCAACCAATCAATGTGTCTCTCTCACATCGATGTTTCTCTCTCTCTCTCTCTCTCTCTCTCCCTCCCTCCCTTCCATTCTCTCTGAAAAGCAATGGAAAAAACATCCTCAGGTGAAGATGAAAAAAAAAGGAAAAATATCTAAGTGATGATAGTTATTGGGAATGTGTGCTCACCATTTGGCAGAATACTTCATCAGAGGTAAACAGTTATCAAAGCTAACTTTAAACTAGCACTCACAGTTCCTATCTTAGTACCCCTTCTCTCAACAAGACTTTAAATATGTTTTTACTAATTTCATTTGATTTTATGTAAACAAGTTATAACAAATTCACTTTTTCACCACAAAGATTTATTTTGAAAAGGAACCTTGAAAAATCTCTAAATAACCTAATGATACACAATAGCTATTTTTAAAGTGATTTTGCCATCTTCCAAAAGTACACTGTACACTTTAAGATATACTTTTAAAGAGTATTTAAAATCACAGTAGCTTTGGCCAAAATAATCTCCATGTTGTCTTATACATCTCATGCCTCTGCTACACTAATGCATTTCTATAATCTATCTTCACACATGAACAAAATTCACAAGTGTATCTTTAAAGTTCAATGATCTTTTTTCTTTTGAATTTTAAAAAGAAGACCAAATGCCATTTCAGCAAGCAGGATGTTACTAGTTATTCCTTTCAAATGATGGCAAAATTAGGAATATAGAGGTAAAGATAAAGAGGACAGAAAAGGAGAGTATTTTCTTTACACACTTGAAAATATCATCTTAATATTTTTAAAAGCAAAAATGACAAAGTTGTGTATCGAGTAAATGGATATAGATCACCAGAGAGAAAATAAATTATAACCATAGAAAATAAAACTGTTAACAAGTCTAAAAAACCACAAAATCATGGCTGAACTGCCTTCACTGATAACTTTTTAAACTTTTTATTTAATTAGGGACATGAGACAGTTCTCTGAGTATTTGATCTGAGCCAGCTTACTCAAAGGTTTCTGGCCTTCCCCCAAAGCTACATTTTACTGAATTATAAGGGGGAGCTAGCACTACATGGAGAGTCATACAATCTAATATACATTTTGTCTTATGGCTTCATTTTACTATAAACTCTCATCAGTGAGGAAGTATCTCTTCATACTTGTAACTGAAGATATGAAGAGTAAGAAAAGCAAAATACATTTGTTTAACATGGCAGAAGGTTGGATAAAAACCAAACTTACCAATATTTTTCCTTTTAAAAACAGTAAGTATTTGACAAATTCTAAACTTTTAACAGATACAAACTGCCAGCTTCCCCAGCCCTCTCAACTCCTTCCCACTTATCCCCTAGTTTAGGCATAAATGCAAAGGTCTAAGGCTTACACTATGATCATTTCCGCGGTCAAACAGCATAATGAATAAAAGATAAAAATTGACAAAGACTGTCCCCTTTACCACACTCTAGCCAGGCTCCTCTGGGCCCTCATCTCAACTAGGCCTCCACCGTGGCCTATAAAAACTATAGACTCTTATCACAAATGATTTTATCCACTCCTCTCCCCCAACATTAAAAGATTTAAACAAACACAGTTTCTAACAGCTCAAGGCCCCATCCCTAGGTTTACCCTAGCCCCTCTTTAAGTGCCAGCCTAGGAAAGCTCAAAGTTGCCAAAAGAATTTAAGGTCTGTTATAGCCAACACCTACTGTAGGCCCCTGAACACCCTATCATAAAGCACTTACTAAAAAGAGTTTACAATTGTGAATCCTTCCTCTGTCCCTTTGAGATGTGTAAGTATCTCCTACAGCTCTGGAGTTTTTGCTCAAGGACATGAAAGCCATTCCTTTAAAAGGTAATCATCAGGAAGGAGAGGGCCTCAGTCTCTCAGTCTCTGTAGGATAGAATCCTGATTTCTCTGGTTGTCAGATGAGGCACAGCCCACCTTATCATTTATGCTGACCAACCCTTTGTAATTTGCCACATCCCTGACTCTACTGAGCGAAGATAGCAAGTCCTACCTACTCCCTCACTCTCCTTTTAAAATGCCCAGTCCCTCTACACAAATCCAAGTTGAGTTAAGTTCACACAGGACCCTCTATTGTAGAGGTACATTACTTATTAAGATTTGTCCTTAACACTTTAACTAGTGTCTGGCTTTATCTATTATCTTTGACAAAAATAAATTAAGAAGGAACATTAGCCCTAGCCGTTTTGATTCAGCCCGTGGAATGAAGGCTCGCGGGTTAGACTCCAGTCAAGGGCATGTGCCTCAGTTGCAGGTTTGATCCCCAGCCCCAGTTGGAGCACATGCAGGAGGCAATCAATTTATGTGTCTCTCTCACATCGAATGTTTGTGTGTCTATCTGTTTCTCGCTCTCTCTCTCCTTCACTCTCTCTGAAAACGCAATGGACAAAATACCCTGTGGTGAAGATAAAAAAAAAAAGGAAGGAAGGAACACTGAACATATCTCAACTAGTAAAGACTTAGTTACTTTATATAAAATCATTTAGATATAAAGTTCTTTAAAAAAAGAAAAAAAGAAATATGAAGGCTTCAACTTCATGAAGAAATCATAATTCAAGGAGTCAACCAATCAGCATTTGGGGCCCTAAAGAGCACCTGGCAAATATCAAGCCCCAACTCTTCATGTTGCAAATGGTGAATCTAAGGCCCAAAGAGATTAAATTAAGTGACTTATGCAAGGTCATTTCAATGAGGGATTGGATTACAAAGGGCTAATTCATCATGATTGTCTCCCTGACTCCAACATGAAAATATTCTTTCTCTTGCATTCTCATTGGTGAAGGCAACATTCACCATTAATCTTTTAAGATCAAACATGAACATATATTACCCTACTATAACACGAGTTTTTATTCCACTATACACCAACAACTGTACATTGAGGCAAGTCTGGTTGGTGCAAGTACACATAACATTTCATTTCACTTGGGAAGATTATTTCAATATATATGCAAATATATAAAGCACCTCGGTGAAGAGAAACTGCTTTCACACACAAGCAAAGAAACATAGCCCCATGCATAAACCCAAAAGAGGGCCAGATGATTTATATAGTCTTAAGAATCACCAAAAGAAGAAAAATAAAAGTAAATAAAAAATTATTTTCTGCACTTACCAGCAAAGCATTTGGAACAGAGGTTCATAGTCTTGCTGGACCTGAGGCAAAAAAAAGAAAGAAGAGCTAAAAATTCAGTATCACTGGCCAGGCAACTGAACTAATAAGCTAATAATAAATTCCCAACCAGCCACACCACCCCCACAACAAAAGAAAAACAAACAAAACACAATGCTTTTTATTTGTGAGTTATCCAATGCATTATTTTTTGTGATTACCAGCTTAAGATGACACCAGAGTCCATTTCTCGCACATGGATTACCACATTCCCACTGTTCACACTGGAACATATACCACAAAGTTATCACTAGAAACCATGTAAACTTAGTATGTAAAGGGATAAAACTTCCTCATAATATACAAATTAATTTATCTCCATATTACTTAAATTTTTATCTTGTCTTCTTTCCCCTCATTCTAGTCCTATTTCAAGATCCTGGTCACATTATGACCTTGTTTAAAATTCTTTGTTCAGATGTTCCCAAATTATCTTTCGTGTCCTTTCTTCTGTTAGTAATAGCTACTAGTCCCTAAAAAATAACTTGGATAGACATTTAACAAACATTATCTTTTTTTTTTTAATCCTTACCTGAGGGTATTTTTCCATTGCTTATCAGAGAGAGTGGAAGGGAGGGAGGGAGAAGAGAGAGAAACATCGATGAGAGAGGCACATCTATTGGTTGCCTCCCACATGCACCCCAACTGGGGCTGGGAATCAAACCTGCAACTGAGGTACATACCCTTGACCAGGAATCAAACCTGAGACCCTTCAGTTTGCAGGCCGATGCTCTAACCACTGAGCAAAACTGGCCAGGGCTAACATGCATTGTTTTAATAATCTTCCCAACATCCCTGGGATGTGTATTACCATATTGCTTTGCTTCTAAATGCACTTTTTTAAAAAATCACATTAACATTTGTACAACCACCATGAAACATCATACAACTGGCTACAAGGGATAACTGATTTAATGAGAAAATATTCCCACCACCTCCTCCAAGGCGTCTTAAATTGAGAGGTCTTAGGAAATCAAGGACATAGAGTCTCATGCCCATTTGACAGGTGAGCAGTTTGCCCAAGGTCACACAGCTGGAGAAGTGCAGAAGTATGTGACCGCAGTATTGAGCCAACTCCAAAGGCCATCCTGCCATCCTCTGTTCACAACACAGCACAGCACCTGGCACCACACAGCAGCCCAGGCACAACATGGCAGGCAATCAATAACTTGCCTCTTAAGTTCTCATTGCTGTTCCCCTTTCTGATTTTCTCCCAAGCACTAGAAGCATTCCTACAGCTTTCTTCCAAAAGACTCCTGGAATACTCTATGTTGGATAAGGTGACCTATTTACAGCCTCATTCCTCAGCAACTCCCTTCCCAATACTGTAGTCTTCGCCCAGAGCTGCTCCTACAATTGAAATAAACCAACTTCCTTCTGCCTCCGTAGTAAATTGTATAATTAAATGAAAGCCTTCCTCAGGAAGTATTCCCTGATGACTATGATTGTATTCCAATGTACTGGAACCTAATGGTTAGTAATCATCATAGGGTGACAAAATTGGGGGGTGGGGAATGGTCATTATTTCTCTTTCCCAAAGGAAAGGGTATGTTAACAGGTGAATCTTTCTTTAAGACTCTGCTTAATATAAAGACAACAAAGGAAGTCAGGAAATTTAAGTATCAATAAATGCATTAAAATGAATAAATGGACAAAAAGATGTATTAATAGTGGAATCTAACATTTTTTGCATGCCTACTATATAGTAAGCATGATACCAGATCCCTTCAACCCCACTTCACCAAAAGAGGGAACAGAGGCTCCAAGAGGGTATATAACTTACCAAAGGTTACAGATCACCTTTGTGGATAAACTTGGTTTGCCAAACTCTAAAGCCTATGTTGTTTTCACCATGTCAAATTTGGGCCTGTGCCTCCAATACAGAGGAAAGGGATAACCTGGGAGAATAGTCATACAACCAAAGATTTAATCTATGGTAATCAGGCCAGCTCCCTAAGAAAGTGAAGCCTTTCATATGGTGAAAGCATGCCTGCCCTCCCCTCCAAAAATATATACACACAGGGGAGAGCAACCCAGGGCTGCCAGTTCCAACTCACAGAAAATCTGACGATAAAGGAATTCCTTTGTTACTAGAACTCCCCCCAGGGAAGCAGGCCTCTTCCAGATGTGGCTGCCATCTTTTATCCATGCACTGCCCTTAGAGCCAAAAGTAACTTGTTTCTCACCTCCACTGCTCCCCATTGTCCAGCAGAAATCATGAAAAGCCTACAAAGAACAACTGAGGGCAACTCAGCACTAAGTATGCTAGTTTTAACATCTGTATACACTGGTAAGAAAAAAAAAAAAAGGCAAAATAGCCTTTTTCTCTGCATCCCTTTCTCTCTCTTCAGATACTTTATGGACTTAAAATACCCACTATACCTATATATTACCTAAATGACATCCATTCCTCTTTTTCCTTAGGAATTTTTCAGCAATATGGTTATCAATCAGATTAAAATGAAATAATACAGCTACTGGCATTATTAAAACAGAGAAGTCTGAAATCTGAAATAAACCAGATTTTGGCTACAGAAATAATGGCCACTGATAATGCTAACTTGGATCCCACAGGTGAACAACAATGAACTCAAAAAAAATGGGCAGAGGTTTCTGAGAATTTTGCTCCTTTCTCGTTCAACATGTAAAACTTGAAGCTAACCACAGGCATACAACTACTGATTGCCCGTGGAAAAACAGTACGATCAACATGCACAGTCGTGTGTTTTTTTAGTATGTATTTATTGATTTCAGAGAGAGGAAGGTAGAGGGAGAGAAAGGTAGAAACATCAATGATGAGTCAATGATCAGCTGCCTCCTGCATGCTCCACCAAATGGGAATCAAGCCCACAACCCAGGCATGTGCCCTGACCGAGAATCAAACCTCGATCTCCTGGATCATAGGTCAATGCTCAACCACTGAGCCATGCCCAGTCTCGCAACATGCACAGTCTTGAGACAGACAGTAGAGTTATCTATGTGGCAGCAAACATGAAAGGTAAATATGATTTTCTTGTGTCCTCACTGCTGAAAAGAAATTGCTCTTACTGAGATTTCCAAAGGCTACCGTGTTTCTAAAACCAAGGCTTAGTAGGTTGAATAATGATCACACAAAGACATCAAATCCTAATCCCATTTACCTTATTTAGGAAAAAGGGTCTTTGCAGATTCTTTAAGGATTCTGAGCTTACCCTGTATTATCCAGGTGGGTCCTCAATGACATTACAAGTGTTTCTGTGACACGGAAAGGGAGTTTGGAGAGATGCAAAGAAGAGGCACTCAGAGAAGATAGAGGTAGAGACTGGAGAAATTGGTCACAAACCCAGGAAATGCTGGGGTATCTACCAGAAGCTGGAAGAGGCAAAGAATGGGTTCTCCCCTAAGTCCCCTCCTCCCCCAGAGAGAAGTCAGTCCTGCCAGACTTTGGACTTCTAGCCTCCAGAACTTTAAGAGGATAAATTTGTTGTTTAAGCCATCAAATTTGTTATGGCAGCCTTAGAAAACTAACACACACAATTATGTCTCTGACCTCAACTTACTCCCTTGCTCAGCAGCATTCAACCAGATTCTTCTTGAAACTCTACTTTTGCTTTCTTGTCACTCAGATCCTGAATCAATACTGCCCCTACCCTCCAGTTTCCCTCCAACCTAACTGCTCCCTTTTAGCCACCTTTGCTGACTACTCCTCCACCGTGAAGACTTTATCTGGAGGTCCCAGGATTCAGTCCCTATTACCTCTACTTGTTGCTTAGGGATCTCATGCAGTCCCATGGCTTTAAATAATATATACACTAAAAACTCACAAATGTTCACCCTCATCTCAAACCTCTTCACCTTGCTCCAAATTTATATATATCTGCCTATTCAACATCTCAAATTCAACATTTCAATTCTCTGCTCACCCCAAGCAACAACAAAAGGGCCAGTTCAAACAGATGACATCCTAGTGGTAATGACAAAGAAGGCTTGCAATAGTGCATCCAGCCTATCCAAGCTGTCACATCACTCTAAATAATTCAGCTGATGTCTGCAAAGTTTTCTTTTTAAGGGAGCATTACAACGAAAAAGATAAGAGTTGTTAATATCCCAGAATAGTTTCTACAATGTAAAAAAAATGGGTCAGGCTACTTTAAAAACAAATTTCAATATAACATTCTAAATTTCAATTGGGGTATTGTAATAAGCAGTGTCTTAACATTTTATACCCAAATTCAAAGACAGCAAGGACACAGCATATGCCTCTTGTTTTATGTGTTTTAAATTCCTGCACTAGCCTTGGCCCAGTGTGGCTCAGTGGATAGAGCATCGGGCCAAGCCCTATGGAGGCAGCCACTAACTGTGGCTCTCTTGAAGCTTCAAGTTGCTGAGAGCCAAACATGGAGAGCTTCCGACAGTAGCTAGCACTGAAAGTACCTCCTGGGAGGCCCAGAAACAGTAGGAAAAACAGTCAGCCTCAGTCAACATAAGAGCGGGATCCAAAGGGACTAAACTCTGCCGAGACAAACACCATGTCACTTTTTTCTCTTTTACTGCATTATTTTCTTTTTTTTCCTGCTTTATTATTTTTGTCTCTCTTTTTTCTTTCAAATATCTTTTTTTCCTGCCTTTTCTTATTCTATTGTTTTTCTTCCTTCTCATTCTTTCTCTGTTACCTTTCTATTTTTTTGTCTTTCTTCATTCCTTTCCTTTTCAGAATTTTTTCCCTTCATTATTTTATAATTTTCCTTTTCCTAAACTTTATCCTTATTTTTATTCCCTCCCTTCTTTCATTTCATATTCCTTTTTCTTCCCGTTTCTTTTCTTCTCATAGCTTTTTGTCTTCTTTTATTATTCTTGTTCCCTTTTCTCTTTCCAAATTCCCTCTTCTTTTGTGGTTGTTTTGTTGTTGTTGTAGGGATGTTTTGGATATTTCTGTTTTGTTTCTTATTTTGTTTTGTTGTGTTTTGTTTTATTCTGTCAGCATGGGCACAATAGCTCGCACAATGTGATTGGGTTTGAACCT